CAAGAAGAGTTGGACCGAGCTGCCCCCGTTCACGAGATTCCGGGAACATCATCCGCACCACCTCCTATCACTCTTGAAGACATTCTCCGAGCCATCCACCAGCATAATCAAATGGGTGCAGCACTTGAAAGAAAACAACAGGAGAAGTATGACTATTTATGTGCACAGAACGCTCAGATTTTGAGTGGCCAGCGGAGCATGAACGAGAGGTTAGACGAGGCGTTGTCTGAACTAAATGCTTTACGGATGGACGTCAGCACTCTTGGCTACCATGACACTGATACCGAAGCCACGCCTACCAGGCGATCACGCACCAGTAGTAGAGGACGTGGACATCAGTAGTTTTTATTCTTAATTAGTTTGCTTTAGCTGTTTCTTTTTGTATTTGTATTTATATTTCCCCGCTATTATACCACAACGTTGAGGACAATGTCTAATATAGTGTGGGAGAGGTAACTTTCCCTTTCCGCATTTTCCATTAAACAAGTAATTTTTTACGATATTTTTCAATTTAAATTCTTCCCCGCTTTATTTAGCCATACCGAATTTTTTTTATCATCGCATAGCCCGACATACCTACCTTAACGAAATCCTAGTTAGGAAGCCGAGAACGATTCAACAAGATCGATACGGTTATGACACCTTAGACTTCCTACTCACGCGGTCTGTTTCAACAACCGTTATACCTATATCTTGAGTTTTAGTTCTAAAGTAACTCCTAGTAGTTTATACTAGCAGTCAACACCGTCTAGACACAAACCACGCGGGGAGCCGATGAATATAAGTGTTTGATGCCTAATCAATGAAATATCCTTCTTATATCGCTGCTAAAAAGGAAAATTTGCACCAAAATAAAAGGTCGCATATAAGAGATGAGCAAATAATGAAGGAGTCCATTGTTGGTTGGTTCAGAGGTATCTGGTTCTTAACTTGGTAGGGCGTGCTATGGCTCGATCCCCCCAACCTCTAATTTGGATAATATGTGTAGGGTTTCCACATTCGTGTACCAGACCCCGTGCCAAAAAGGATCAAAGTCACTAACCGGTTACTCCACTACGTGCGTGCTAAGACAAATGGGTTAATGTGATTGCGCTAGAACAAACCGGGTGAAATAGGTACAAGAGACTCTGGGTAGAATTATAACAGAATTATTGGACAATTTGTTTTAAATGGAAGTCCACAACTTAGCTTATTGCTTGTGTCATTAGCGTATCGTTAGTGTTTTACTTAAGTATCGGTCGAACTAACGATTGATTTCCCGTAATTGTTTTGAAAACCAAAGGTATGTTATGCATGTGCATCTGATAAAAATTGTCTGATCTTTCTAAATGATTGTTTGCTTGAGGACAAGCAAAGGTTTAAGTATGGGGGAATTTGATAACAAGAAATCATATCGTATAATTACTACGTTTTTAGTCTGTTTTCATATTGCATTAATCCATTTAACCCCCGATTGTTCTGAGTTCTTATGTCTTTTCACAGGTACAACATGTTTTTAGTCAATTTAGTGGAAAAAGATCATATGAAGAAAGTTAACATGAAAACCAGAAGAAAAGGAACAATTCTGCAAAGTCCTGCAGATTTTGATGCTGTGACGGTCGTCACACATTGCTTACGACCGTAACGCGCTTGTTTCATGAAGAATGCTCGTCACACATCACTTACGGATGTAACATGCTGTTAAGCGTCTTACACCCGTCACCTTGGCATTACGACCGTCACGCGCTTAATTCAACGTTATGAAGAACATGGAGACGTGGTCAACGTAAAGAAAGGAATTTTCAAATACTCTTACAATCTCTCAACCTCACCAACGCCCAGTCCTGGTTTTTCTCCACAAAAGAAGTGCAAAACCCACGTTCTTGTTTTCTAACTGTCAATTTCTCCTCTATAAATAGGAGAGATTTCAATGAAGAAATATATAGAGTTTTATTTACAGAGAGTTTTATTTTCATAAATTCCTTGCGGAAGCTCTGCCGAATTTACGAACCATTTCCCAGTTTTCATTTTTTTCCTACTGTTCTTGTTTTTTATTTCCCTTTTACCATTTAATAGCCATTTCCAACATTAGGAAATTGCTATTTTAGTTAGAATTTGTTTTTAGCCTCAGACTTCGTTTCAAGTTTCGATTCCGAAGGTTCCAATCTTGTCGACTTGTAGAAGAGGGAGCTTGAGGAATAGTATTATTAGTCAGGTTTTAATCGCATTTAATTTAATTTTAATACAATTTGTTTACGTTCAATTAATGTTATTTATTTATCATGCATGTTTCACTGCTTTCCAATTATATTTCCTGTGTGTCTGTTTCAAGTACCATGACTAGCTAAATTTCTAGAGCCGGGATGTGATAATAGTAACTAAATAGATTAAATTGTTCCTAAGCTAAAATCCAAATTAACTTAATTTCTGGCTGTGACTTTTTAAAATTAAAATCAATCTTTTTGTTACGAGAGTAAGAGAAGTAGAATAGGTTAGGATCAAGACCACGAGAGTGTGAGGTTTTAACCGGATAGCTAAAGTTAGGCATTTGATTTAAATACAGCAAGAGCGCTTTAAAACGAATTAGACTTTATTAAGTTTTCAAAGAGTATTTTCTAAACACTTATGGGCTAGCGAGAGCAGGCATAGGGCTTTAGGGGGTATAATCTGAGATAAGACCACGAGAGTGTGAGTTGGGGATTTTTAAACTGATAATTTCTACAGAACCATTTAAGTTAAACATCTTTATATGCTTAGGTTCGATTAAATCCACTTAGATTCACTATATTACATACCGACCGCTTTATTATTATTATTTCTTTAGTTCGATTTAGTTTTCCTCTACTTTAACTTCTAAAAACCAAACGTGACAACATCCGCCTTAGCTAAACTAGCAAACCTTTATAGCACTAGAGTGATTACAAAGTCCCTGTGGGTTCGACATCTTTTTATTACTACCGCGATAGGATGTGCACTTGCAGTTAAGATACTGTTAGACACATTAGGTCAATCGCACATTAATGGGCTAGATAAGAAATTACTATACTCAGTTACTATAGTCTATGCCTATAACCAAATTTAGAAAAGGAAGCATTTTTTGGATATGATTAAAGCCTTGGGAGCTAATATGCATATCCATTGGATGGTTATGCGGGATTATAATAATGTCCTGACTAGTCAATATATGATTGGAGAAATCAATGTATGTGAAGCAGAATACATGGATCTTGTTAACATGATGCTAAAGACTAGCCTGTTTGAAGCCCCAACTAAAGAATTCCATTTTACTTGATCCAATAAGCATATAATTGGTGCGATCTATTCTCAAACTGATAGGTTAATTGGGAATATGGAATGGTTTCAAAAGTTCCAGGATGCCATTGTGGAGGTTTTGGCCCCAAATATCTTTGACCATGCCCCTCTTAGAATGAGAATATATCAGTAACAGAACACAAAGTAAAGCAACTTTAAATTCCTGAATGGTATTACTAAAGATGACACATACAAGGATATTATAAGGAGTAACTGGCAGCAGGAGACATGGGGTAATGCTATGCATAGAATCTGGACTAAGCTTAAGAGACTCCAACTTCATTTGAAACCTCTGACTAGGAAGTTCACTAATATTCAGGTTCAGATCCAGTGTGCAAGACAAAATTTACTTCAATCCCAGAAAACTCTGCAAAACAATCTGTTTGATGCTAATGCTATTGAGCAGGTGAAGATCATAACTGAAAAAGTGGTGTATCTTAACCAAGTGGAAGAGGATATGTTGAGACAAAAAGCTAAGGTAAATTGGCTGAAGCTGGGGTATAGCAACAACTCTTTTTTCCATGCGTCTGTAAAGAGAAGAATAAAAATAAGGGGTTGTATACCCTGTTGTCTTTAGAGGGAGAGCTCTTGAGCAACCAGGAGGACATAGAGAATGAAGTTATGAAGTTTTACAGGAACTTAGTTGGCACTAACTCTTAGGAGCTAAAGTGTATTGACTATCCCACTGTTATGAGGGGTAACACTTTGTCTAGAGAGGAGGCTTTAAACCTTATAAAACCAATTGTGACAAGGAGATTTGGAAAGCCTTAGAGAGTATAGGTAATACAAAGGCCCCAGCTCTAGATGGATTCAATTCTTTATTCTTTAAAGATGCCTGAAAGGTGGTCAAAATGATGTCACTGCTGCTATTAGAAACTTTTTTGATACCTGTAAGATGCATAAAGCTTTGAATTGTTCCCTTATTACTCTTATCCCTAAAGCTATTGATGTCTCGACTATAAAGGATATGTGTCTCATTTCTTGTTGCAATACCATATATAAGATCATATTGAAGATTATAACTGAGAGAATGGGCAAAGTCATTATAATTATGTCATCAATGAGAATCAATCTGCCTTCATTCCTGGCAGGCTTATACAGGACAACATTATGCTTGCTCAAGAGCTAGGCAAAGGTTATGGTAGGAAGCATATCTCTCCTAGGTGTATGATCCAAATGGACATACAAAAAGCCTATGATATTGTGGAGTGGACCTCTCTAGCTCAAATTATGGGTGCTTTGGGTTTCACTCTGAATTTTATAAATTAGATCCTTGCTTGTGTCACTTCTGTCTCTTACAGGTTTGCTATTAATGGAACTCATAGTGGTATTCACAAAGCTAAAAGGGGGCTGAGATAAGGAGACCCAATCTCTCCCCTGCATTTTGTCCTAACCATTGAGTATTTCTATAGAGTTCTCCATGGGCTGAAGGATAATCCTAACTTTAACTTTCATCCTAAATGTGATAAGTTAAAAATAGTGAACCTCTGTTTTACTGATGACATTCTTATGTTTTCTAGAGGAGACTTAGGCTCCATTAGGCTAATAATGAGCAAAGTTAATGATTTTTCAGATGCGACTGGTCTTAAGATGTGTGTTCTAAAGAGCAAATTGTTTTCTAGTGGTGTGGATGCCAGAACTCAGAGCCTTATCCAACAGGAAATAGGTCTCACTATAGGGAATCTTCCTGTCTACCCCTTATCGTGAAGATGCTAGTTAGAATTTATCACTGGAGCACAAGAATCTTATCGTATACAAGGAGAATCCAACTTGTTAAAAGCGTTTTGTTTTCTATATCTAACTACTGGCTCCAAATCTTTCCTTTGCCTAACAAGGTTTTAGCTCATGTGGAAAGTCACTGTAGAAAATTTCTCTGGAATGGTACAGAGAATTATACTAGGAAAGCGCCTATCTCATGGGATCATGTGTATGACCCAATTGTTGTTGGAGGAATGAAATTGATTTCTCTCAAAGAGTGGAACAAAGCCACTATGGGTAAAATATTGTGGAATATCCATTCTAAGAAGGATAAGCTTTGGATCAGTTTGATACACAAGTACCATATGAAGAAAGAGGATGCCTCTAATTACCAGCCCAAAGGAAACTGCTTACGGATAGTCAAAGCTATCTTCAAGCAAAGAAGTGATATCATGCATTCTATTGTATGGAACTCCTTCAGGCGTCGGGAAAGTATGTGACTAGAATTATATATCATATGCTGAGAGGGGTAAAGCCTAAGATGCTGTGGAGGAAGCTGATGTTTGGAAATCTTACGTGCCCTAGAGCAAAGTTTTGTTTGTGGATTACTTGCCAAAAGATAATCCCGATAAAAGACAAATTGAGAAAGTTTGGGACTAGTACATATGGCTTGTGTGTCTACTGTGGAAAAATGGAAAGCTTCCTACACCTGTTTTTTGAGTGTGTGAAAACTAAGAGGATATGGACCCAAATCCTTAATTGGATGCATATTTTCCATGTTCCGAAAGATTGGGACAAGGAGTTTAGTTGGCTTGTCAAGATAACTTATGGGAAAGAGAATGTCTCAAAGTTTATTAAGATTATTGTTGCTGAGACCATTTACCAAGTGTGGAGCACAAGAAACAAAATCATCTTCCAAAATAGCACTAAAGAGGGGCTTCAGATTCAAGAAATTAATGATACAATTATGTGGCGTGTTGAGTTGGATAGAAAACTTATAGAATTTTTTCATAGTTTACGAGGCTGTGTAGATCTTGTTTAGCGTCTTTGGATATTTAGTCTTTATGATGTCTAGACTGAATTGGTCGACTTTTGTACTTGACTTGTTTTTGGAATAAAATTCTTTTATTGCTTAAAAAAATATTTTAATTGTTTTAAATAAATGATTGATTAAATTGAAATAATTTCAGTTACCATATATATAAATAATTCATTTTTTAATGTCATTTTTCAATGTCATATTATTTATTGTTGAATGTTGATAATGATAATTATTAAACTATTGATAAAAAAAATTAAAAAGACAAACATATTTATGTTAGAAATATCTTATTATGTAATAACGGTAAGTTTTGAATTGGTAATTAAAATATATATTTTTAATTAACATTGTAACTTTATCTTTATTCAGTTAATTTAATTATTTTAAATAAATGGTTGATTATACTAAAACGATTTTGATTACCGTGTGTATGCAGGGGCGGATCCAGACTTTATATATTGGTGTGGCTAAACATAAAAGAAATTATCGACTAAAATATATTGAAAATAAAAAATAATATTGTTTGATGAAGTGTATTTACAATGAAAACCGTCTAGTATCAATTTCTTGAAAATGAGCTAAAATAACATCATTGTTAATTGTTCCAAGAACATCTCTTTCTATAAAAGTTACAAGACGATCATTTAACCATTGATCACCCATTTTGTTACATAGCTGACTCTTCACAAACTTCATAGCTGAAAAAACACGTTCCACGCTCGCAGTTGCTACTGGCAAGACTAAAGCCAACTTCAGAAGCTTATAAACTATATCAAAAGTGTTACATTTTTTTGTTTCCACAAGTTTTGCACAAAGATCTGAAAGTCCGTTTAAATTTGCAAATTTTGGATCACATCGAATATTTCTAACATAATTCTTAAGCTGATGTCGTACCGCCACTTCCGGCACATCTACAAAATCATTTGGATAAAGTTCAATCATCCTCAATAATTTTTTCACATCAAAAGATTCAAATGATGATGAGGGACTCAAACATGAAACACATTGTAAAAGTTCAGTATTCTCTTCATCAAACCTAGCATTGAGCTCATGCAACTGCAAATCTAAAACACTACATAAACAATCATGCTTATAATGATGCAAATTAGAAACACTAGAAGTGATAGCATGTCGTCTAGGTTTCTTCCCTTGCACGTACGCTGCATCCAAATCAGGCACATCAATATCATGCTTATTGCAAATTTCCATAACCTTAGATATAAGTTCTTCCCATCCATCATTTCTCATTTCTTGTAATTCCTGTTTGGTGGCTTTGACAAGTGATAAAGCATTCAAAAGATCTTGATCACGCTTTTGTAGCACTACACTTAAATCATTTGTAAATCCTAAAATCTCAACCATCATGTATAACATGAAAATAAAATCAAAGGACTGAAGCACATCTAGCAAAAGCATAGTTTCACCATATTTTTCAAATGACGTATCTTTCCCGACTTCTTCAAGTACCTCAATAATGGCACCATATAAAATCATCAAACTAGTGAGAGTCCTAAAGTGGGAACCCCAACGAGTGTCACCCGCTCTAGCAATAGACAATTCTTGATCTAATTCCTGGATCGGTTTCCAACAATTCATAATCGACAACTTTAATACTCTCACTTGGATGTTGAGTTTCCGATGCTTCTAGATTTACCAGAGAAGTAGCTTTGTCTCTAGAAAGCACAGGAAAAAATTTCTTCATCCTATAAAGAGAACAATGAAACCATTAAAATTAGCTATTCACTCTATAAAGAAAATAATAAGAACAATTTATTGTAAAGAAAATATTTATGAGAAATTGAAAATTTACTTTTTTAAAACAAATTGGGGTTTTATGGTTAAACTCAAATAGAACAAAAGAATAAGAAAATTTTGAAGTAGTTAGTTTACCTTTGATTTTCAATCACCCATAAACAATGCAAAATGGTGGGGTTATTGGATTAATGAGAGAAAGAGACAAATATGAAAGTCGGTGGGGTTTGAGAAGAAGAGAAAGGGTTTACTGTGTGAGAGAGAAAGAAATAAAAGAGAGAGAAAATTAAGAGATAAAAGTGAGTTGAAGAGTTATATAATATTAAATATTAAAATTAATTAATTAATTAAATATATATTAATATTAGAAAGAAAAAAATCTGGTGTGGCTATAGCCACACCTAGCCTAAACGTGGATCCGCCCATGTGTGTATGTATAACTCACTTTTTATGTCATTTTCCAATGTCATATTATTATTTATTAATTTTAATAATGATAAATATTAGACTATTAATGAAAAATAATTGAACAGACAAACATTGTTATTTTAAATAGGACACTAGTAATCTGGAGAACTATTCTTTAATTAAAAATATATTATTAAGTAAGATAAGAATATATATAATTAATTATATTATTAAAAAATTAATAATATAAATAAGAGGTGTACATCTAGGATATTGTATCATGGATATTGGCAGGTAGGATGTAATTGCTCTTAAGGACTTCTCTCCTTCAGAAGGACTTAAAAAACAAATAAATTCAATTTTTTTGTCACTCATTCAGATGGACTAACAAATAAATAAATTTAATTTTTTTGTCAATAAGATTTTAGGAGCTCCACCATCACCTTTCCAAAATACAATTAGTCTATCTTCCATTAGAAAAGGTCTTTCTCAACAAACTTTTTCCTTCCCTAATAGAACGCCGACTAGATTTTTTTAATATTTGATGGTCCAAATCATGTAAAATGGGCTAACGAACTAAAAAAATTCAAAGTTTCATACATCAGACTCACGGAGGTCCACAATCACCTTCCCAAATCAAAAATCACAAGTCTTCTACTATAATCCATAGAAAGAGAACCAACTAAAATTTCCAATATCGAACCGTTCATATCGTGTAAAATCAACTAAAAAATAAACAAATTAAAAAATTTCATCAATCGGACTCTTAGATGTCCACCATCACCTTCCCAAATCACAATTAATAGGCTTTCCACTAGAAAGGTTTATCCTTAACTGACTCTTTTCTTCACTAGAAGAACACCAGCTATAATTTTTATTATCGAGTCGTCCACATCTGTAAAATGGGCTAAAAAATAAACAAATTCAAAATTTTTATCAATCAGACTACCAAGAGTCCACTGTAACCTTCTCAAATTATAATTCACAAGTTTCATTAGAAAGTGTCCTTATCAAATGACTTTTTCCTTCACTGGAAGAATACCGACTAGAGTTTTTAATATCTTATAGTCCACATCGCGTAAAATGTACTAACAATCAAACAAATTCAAAATTTTCATCAATTGCACTCTCAGAGGTCAACCATCCCCTTCTCATATCACAATTCACAGGTATTAAAAAAAGGCCATTCTCAAATAATGTTTTCCTTCTCTAAAAGAACATCTGCTAGAATTTTCAATATCGCACCATCCACGTCCTGTAAAATAGAAAAAGAAATAAACAAATTCAAAATCTTCATCAATCCTTCAGGAGTCCGATTAATGAAATGTTTTAATTTGTTTATTTTTTAGTTCATTTTACACGATGTGGACGACTTGATATTGAAATTCTAGTTTGTGCTTTTCCAGTAAAGGAAATAGTCAGTTGAGAAGGACCTTTTCTAGTGGAAGACTTGTGATTTGGGAAGGTGGTGGTGGGCCTTACGGAGTCCGATTGATGAAAAATTTTAATTCTTTAGTTTTTAAATCTATTTTACATGATTTGGATGGTCCAATATTAAAAATATTAGTTGGCGTTCTTTCAGCGAATGAAATAGCCAGTTGAGAAGGACTCTTTCTAGGGGAAAGACATATGAATTGTGATCTAGGAAAGTGATTGTGGATCTCCGAGAGTCTGATTGATGAAATTTTTTTATTTTTTTATTTTGTAGTCCATTTTACACTATGTGGTTAGTCCCACTATTGAAACTTTTAGTCGGCGTTCTTTTAGTGAAGGAGATAGTTAGTTCACAAGTACTCTTTATAGTAGAAGACATGCGAATTGTAATATGGGAAGGTGATGTTGGACCAATGGAAGTATGATTGATGAAATTGTTGTATTTATTTGTTTGTTAATCCATTTTATATGATCTGGACGGTGCAATATTGAAAATTATAGTCAGTGTTATTTTGGTTAAGGAAAAAATTAGTTCAGAATGACCCTTTATAGTGGAAGACTTATGAATTGTGATCTTGTGAATGTCATATTGTTTTTCATTTTACATGTTTTAGACGTTTCGATATTGAAAGTTGTAGTTGGTGTTCTTCCAATGAAGAAAATAGTTAGTTTAGAAGGACCCTTTTTAGTGGAAGACTAGTGAATTGTGATATGGAAAGGTGATGTTGGACCTCCAAGAGTCCGATTGATGAAATTTTTCAGTTTGTTTGTTAGTTCATGTTACACGATTTGGACAGTTTAATATTGAAAATTATAGTCAATGTTCTTCTTGTGAAGGAAATAATCACTTGAGAATGTCCCTTT